AGGGTTTGGAGGAAGCTGAAGGGTCTCCGGGCTGGTCTGACTGTGACTCTTGGGGCGTCATTTTCTCCACAGGCGAACAAACTCGCTGCGAAGAGAAAAGCCCATGACAGCACCGTCAAAGAGGAGAAAAAGAAAAGCAAGAAGGCACGACGAGCGTGACAGGAGTGGGTGGCCCTGCAGATGCCGTCTGCGGGTGATAAACCCTCAGCTTTGCTCTTGGGACAGAAATGCTAAATTCAAACATTTCCCGTCTGTAAATACACCTCCTCGCCGTGCCTTTCCCAAAGCTCTCCTCTGCCAGTACCGCTGCTCATCCTGGCCTGGGCTGTGGGATCGGTGTTACATGAGAACCATCCTCTTCTTGCTGATGCCACCTCAGCTTCCTGACCTGCAGGAGGAGGCCAAGGAGAGCTCCTGGCTCTTCCAGGTCCCTCCAGGAATTGTCTCTTTTGGATTTGCCTGGCCCTGACTGGAGGAGCTGAGCCTCCAGCGTGGAGCAGAAGCTTTCTGGGGTGGAGCAGAAGCTTCCCAGGGCTGCCTGGCGTGGTTTTGAGGCTCAGCACAAAGAGCAGGGTGGTGGTGGAGAGGAATCTGCAGCGGCAGTGACTCCATCCTCTGCCCAACCTGGAGCTGCCCCCAGCATCCATGTGGTGGGTCGTACTACGCTTGGATTTTTATTTTTAATTAAAGAAGGTGACTCTTCCCCCATGGTGTGTGTTGTCCCGTTGTTTTCCGGCTGGGGCGGGGTTGGCATAACGGTGCTGTGCTCTGCCGGGTCCTGGTCACAGCAGAGAACGTGTGGGTGAGTTCAGCCAACACATGTGGGGCTGGAGGTGGCTCCTCATCCTGCACCAGGTGCGTCTGCTGGGAAGAGAAGGGGCAGAACCTGGTCCTTGCTCCAGGTGTCACCGTGCTCCTTGTCACCCTTGGTGCCAGGGGGAGAGTTGGGCAGGGTCTGCTTCACCCCAGAGACAACTCTTGAGTCAGTTTTGCTCAACCAGGGGACGCACAGAGTCCTGCTCCTGGGGAGAAGCAGCCCCGGGACATGCTGAGGGTCACCAGGCTGAAGAGCAGCTCTGTAGGAAAGGAGCTGGAGGTCTTGTTAGGCACCAACCTGACCATGAGCTACCACTGTGTGCTTGAGGCAAAGAGGGCTAATGGGTCTGCGTGAGGAGTTTGAGGGAAGTGAGGTCACTCGTGGAGGGCCATGGCCAGCGATGGGCTCCCCAGCACAAGAGAGACACGGACACGCTGAAGCACATCCAGTGAAAGGCCACCAAGATGGTGCAGGGGCTGGAGCATCTCTCCTGCGATGATGAGAGTTGGGACTGAAGAAGGTTCTTTGGGGGAATCTTCTCAATGGGTGTAAATACCTGAGGGGAGGGCATGAAGGTGGAGCCAAGTTCTTTTCAGCGGTGTCCAACACCCAGGCATGAGGTCACGGGCGCATACTGAAACCCGGGACGTGCTTCCGAACGTCAAGAAATGCTTCTTCACCGTGAAGGTGACCAAGCACTGGAACAAGGTTGCCCAGAGAGGCTGCAGAGTGTCCATCCATGGAGACATGACCATGATGGTTGCACCAGCTGACCTTCAGAGGTATCTGAAATCCTGCTAAATGATTTTTTTTCCCCAAAACCAGCCCTCCACTGATATTTCCTCGCTAGGGCTGGTGCAGTGCCCTGAGAACTGTTGATGACTGTCCTCCTGGAGAGAGGAGGAGGATAACGCTTGGGTTTGTGCAAGATTTATGGGTTTTTTTCGCTTTTCTGGCTTGTTTTGGTGGTCAGGATGGGGGGTGCTGAGGTGGGGTGGTTTACCAGGGGATGTTATTGTAGGGTTTTGGTGAACGTGGACTCGGGGGGGCGAAGGTTTTGTCATCTCGCAGGGGTTTGTGTGGACACCCCTGCCTCCAGCTGTGGTTGCATCTCATGGAGCTTTGTAGGGACACCCTTGTCTGTAGCTGTGCTAAACATTGTGGGTTTTTTCCCCTTTTTTTAATGCTTTTTGATGTTAGGAAGGGCTTTTTTCCCCCCTTTTTATTTTTTCATTTTCTCTTGCTTTTCTCCCCTGCCGCTTCCTTCACTTCCCCTTTCGGAAAAGGAGGAAATTCAACCCCTTGGCAGCTCCTGTACACGCATCCAGAACTCAGATCCCACGAGGAAACCTTGAACGGGGCTTCCCAACCCCACTGGAGTTGCTGGCTGCTCCCTCCCGAGCCGGGGTGGCGGATGATATTAGGAAATATCCTTTACTGAAAGATATTAGGACATTAGGGAGGAATAAGGAATATTGGGAACAATTTCTTTACTGAAAGAACGGTGAGGCATCGGAACAGGCTGCCCAGGGAAGGGCTGGAGTCGACATCCCTGGAGGCATTCAAAAAATGTGTAGATGTGGCTCTTCAGGATATAGTTTAATGGTCACCATAGCGTTGCATTGATGGTTGGACTTGATGATCTTAAAGATACCCCCAAATCTGGGGGTTGGGGGGCTTTTCCCTCTCTCCTAGGTGCAGGAGGGGACAGACACGGGTTGGGGGACATCATGGTGGAGGTGATCTGGGCGTGTTTTACCTGCCATGGGGTGCAGGGTGTCACAGCTCCCCAGCCTCCGGACGGCCGTGAGCATCCCTTCGCTTAGTCGCCGCCGTCTTCTTGTGCCTGGAAACGCCTTGCAACACCAAAAAAAGGGGGGAAACCTGGAATTAAGAGAGGTTGCCTTGCAGGGTCAGGGGGTAGGAAG